ATCCCGACCCACCCCCTTATCCCGACCCGACCCATCCACTATCATCAATCCGAAATCAGCGAACGTTCAGATCCCGCCCGTGCTCCATCCAACCGTTCTCATTTTTCTCCCCCCTGGTCAGTCCGCCTGCGCTGATTTCTCCCGTCTTACCTTCTTCTTTTTTTTTTTTTTTTTTTTTTTTTCCCCCCCTCCTCTATAACGGATCACGTGCTCTTCAGAATGAGTCCTTATCGCACCTGAGCTCATTCTCGACTCACTGCGCACGTTAATCGTCCCCTTCTGTCTTTTTTTTCTTTTCTCTTTTTTTTCTTTTTTCTTCCTTTTTCTTGTTTGAGGGAAAACCGGCGGCGCCTGCTAGGTGGGTTCATACGAGCAGCCCAGTTAGTCCTTGTCCTTATTCTTCTCCACAGTCTTCATCCAGCAGACCTGTCCCCTCATCCTTTCTACTCCTCATGGTCTACTTCCTCCTCCTCCTCCTCCTCCTCCTCCCACCGTGCCTGGCATGAGCATCACGAACTTCCCCTTTTTCAAAAGACGACAACGATAACGAAGATGAGTAGTAGTAGTAGTCGTAGTAGTAGTAGTAGTAGTAGTAGTAGTAGTTGTTGAAGTCGTAGTAGTAGTACTAGAAGTCGTAGTAGTAGTACTAGAAGTCGTAGTAGCAGTAGTACTAGAAGTCGTCGTCGTCGTAGTAGTACTAGAATTCGTGGTAGTAGTAGTAGTAGTAGTAGTAGTAGTAGTAGTATAGTAGTAGTAGTAGTAGTAGTAGAAGTCGTAGTAGCAGTAGTACTAGAAGTCGTCGTCGTAGTAGTACTAGAATTCGTAGTAGTAGTAGTAGTAGTAGTAGTAGTAGTAGTAGTAGTAGTAGTAGTAGTAGGAGGAGGAGGAGGAGGAGGAAGTAGACCATCAGTAGTAGAAAGGATGAGGGCCACGACGAGGAAGAGACGGTCGCAATCGGTCCATTACACAACAGTTTATAGAGACAGCACTACCGTCTTCACCCGAATAGAACGCCCGGTCATTATCTCTGCATCTAGACTTAAATTTCGACCAAATACAGGTATAATGACCGGGCGTTCTATTCGGGTGAAGACGGTAGCAGTAGAAGACATGATGATGATGATGATGATGATGATGATGATGAAGTTCTATAGTTTTATAGTTTTATACAACACTCTTAATGCATTGGGACGCTTACTGGACCAAGTGCACTCCGACAAGTCCAACATTTTGATTGGAGCTGTGATAGTGGGACATGGGTTGCCGGTGAAGGGGTGTCACAACCATTACTTGTCACCCAAAACGGTTCAGGGGGTGTCACAAGCTTTTTTTTGGGGGCAGGGGTGTCACCTCCATTCCCCGTTACCCAAAAAGGTTCAGGGCGTGTCACAACCCATTATTTGTTGTCTCGGTGTCTTTAGCCGGGTCTAACGATATATTTTTTAAATAAAAATGACGAACTGTGGTTTTCCAAAAAAAATATAATAATAATAAAGTTTCAGGTTGGGCTGGCAATTTTTTTTATTTTTTATTTTTTAATTTGGACCATTTCTTGATTTATGCGTGTCATCCTTAAAAGCGCAGGGGCCATGCT